CTGTGAGTTCGAGGCCAGCCTGGGCTACCAAGTGAGTCCCAGGAAAGGCGCAAAGCTACACAGAGAAACCCTGTCTCGAAAAACCAAAAAAAAAGGTAAAATTTTACATTTTAAGTAAACAATAAGAATGTTTATTGGTTAAAAACTATATGGAGTGTGTGTGTGTGTGTGTGTGTGTGTGTGTGTGTGTGTGTATGTGTGTGTGTGTGTGTGAGTGATCATTATATTTTGAAAGCTGGCTCTGTGTTCCCACAAAATTACATACTATTTCCTGGTCTGACTTATTTTAATATCCATCACTGACAGACAAGAAAAGGGAATCATGGTAAACATTCCTCTTTAGAAGTTTGCTCTAAGCACAATGTTCCAAAATATGTTACAATGAAGTATCTCAAGGGTGGAAAATTCAATTTAAATAATAGATTAAAAACATACTAGAAATTAGATTCTTAAGTTCAAGGTAGCTTTAAAACCTTATTTCTTCCCAAGCCAGTTAATGCAACCAGTGTTGTTATTCAATCATATTTAAGTTAAACTGCAAATCACTTACTGAGTATATACTTGATTTATATGCATTCTGTATCTGTCAATTCCCTGGTAAAATTAATTGCTAAAATGTTTTATTGATGACCATGAGGGTAGATGAATCAGCCTAACCACTTTAATAGCTTAACCTCTGATTAAAACTCCTATAATCAATCCTTGACATAGAAATATTCCTTAATTAAATATTTTAAATAATGAGATGATGGAACCAAGTAATTGATAAAGCTTTAGTTGCACTGGTATTTTTTTCAACATAATAAGGACTTAAATAAGCTCTGAAGACAGTTATGCTATGTATTTTACCCAAATACTATGGAATGTTTGGAAAACTGTAATATAAAGCTAAGTGTATGTTAGTAACTGACTTCTCACGTGCAAGTGGGGATAATAAAATGTTAAAATATAATGCCTCTGCATCTGCCCCCAATATCTGCAGGCTTAAAATCCCTTCACCCCAAAGCTCATTGTTTATACTGCATATATTTGTTAAAAGGTTCCATCTTCTAGGAATTTTAGTGCAAATTTACCACATAAAGTTAAAATACATGTTTTTCACCCTTACACTGTATTGATTTTTAGTATGATGTTCCAATTCATTCCTCTCTATTTTTGAGAATGGGAGATTATGATTAGAAGCAATAAAAGCTAACTCCCTGTTTTGAAAAAAAAAAATCATAGAAACAGAAAACTGTCCCATTGGAAGGTAAGTACTGTTCTTTATGACAAGGTTGAGGTAAGAACAGGTGGTGAACACAATATCTCATAAAGCTGTGGATACAAAACAGTTCAAAAGCAATTTCAGAAACAAAGAAAGCAACTCGATGTGGATGTCAGACAATCTAAGACAAGCACCACACCAGCATGTTAAATACAAGGCAGCCCTCCTATGTGGGCTAATTAACAGAAACTCGTACTAGAACCCTTCTCCAAACTCAAGTCTGCTTGTGTATGGGCAGCAAAGGCCTATCCAGGTGTGCTGGTGGTTAGGAAACCTTCTGTGCATACAAAAAGAAGAGAGCCAGCTGACTGCACTGCAGTAGGTTATATGTGAAGGAACAGGATAGAAGTAGAGGCCCAGAACAAACCACATCCAAATAAACTGTCAAAACACAGAACATCACTGCCATCTACCGTTGTGTGGTATTTTAAAGACCCATTCAATGGTATCATCTGTAGTTCATCTCCAAAGATAGCTGGGGACAATTAATGTGCCATGACTCATACTGCATCTTCTAGCATTCTGCAGTTTCTAATACATCTTTACCTCCCTATGGAACAGCTCTTGAAATCCATTGCCTTCTCTTGAATTCAGCTTGTGAGATAAACGGTTAGAATCCAAGGAAACTAAACGTATTGTACTATCTGTTCATGCTTCTCTTCTGTGGTGTACTGGGTATATTTTTGGTCTTCCATTTTTTTTTCCTTTGAGCTCCACATCTGCTACAGTCTGGGTAGATCTGTGTGTGAGATTTTCCTGTGAGCTTCAGACAAGCTAAAGGTCCTCTGTATCAGGTTGATGTTCTCAGAGGCTGCTTATGGAGTCAGGACATATGTTTGTGGGCAGCTGGGTTTTGTGTCCAAATTTGAAACACTTGCTTCAAACTGATTTATTCCACCATATGGGGAAATAATTTTCAGCCAAAACATTTAATTAACAGTGAATCCAAGTAACCCTGTGTTTGCTTGTACCACATGTTAAGTGCTGAACATTGTGATAAGCAGACAAATGTACTCACATACTAGACCAGGTTCTTGCCCCTTGCCATCTGGTAATGATAGCACCCAAGTCTCGTTTTTATCATTTTCTCTCAGTCCAATTTCTGCACTCTAGATAGAGACAATGAATAGTTAAGGGAAAAATACATGTCTTTGAGAGCAAATAACAGAATTTCGTGGGTAATACTTGCCTCTTACAGGATTAACTTGAGACAACTCAATCGAAAAGTAAGAAAAGAGAAAAACATAATGTTCCTTTAATTAAATTCGGGTATTTTGTGGGTATTTTACACACCAACCAAAGATCCTCCTCTTTCCTCCTCCTGCTCCCCCCAGTCTCCCCCAACCCATCCCCCACCCCACCCTCCACAAGAAGGCATGACCTCCCATGGGGAGGCACATCCAATAGAGATAAATCCAAGCCCTTCCCCCTGCCTCAAGGCTGCACAAGGTGTCTCATCACAGGTAGTGGGCATTTTATTAATGTGTCTTTAAAGATTTCTTTCATTAGTTCTGAAATTCCACCAGTTTATAAAACCATAGAAGAAGAGATGATATTGATCTAAAACCAATGATACAATTGTCTACTTCTTGACTTTGTTCTGATTATTGAGAAAACTAAAGCCATGGTTAGTACAGAATACAGAGGTTATAAAACATCAAAAGAACAGAAAATTTAGTATGTCAAAGTCATTTCATTGAAGAAATACCTAAAGTAATATCAAAAAAGATGAAGACTGTCTCTACAATTCACACTTAGTATCCCCCCAAATAAAAGTGACTACCCAGCACCTAAGGCAGAACATGCTTCAGTAATGACCCCTACAATCATTCCACAAACAAAACCAACCACGAAGGACAAATACTGCTAACATTAATAAAGAAAAAATAACTCAGTTAAGTGAGATGGTTGAGCAGGTAAAGGTGCTTCCCACCAAGCCTCACAGCCTGGATTCCATCCCCAGAACCCAAATGGACTAAGGGAAGATCAAACTCCTGCAGTAACCTTCTGACCTCCATGGGTGTGTGTACACTGACAATATAAATAAATGGAAAATATTTTTCAAAAAAAATCTCAGAAAAAAAAAGTGTCTCTTTAAATTATCACCTTTTTTAGAATGTAAGGAAAAGGGGGCAGAGAGATCACTGAGACATTATGAGCATGCACTGCTCTTACAGAAAACCTGTTTGCTTCCCAGCACTCATGTTGGCTGGTTCACAACCACCTGTGATTCCAGCTCCACCAGGACCCAATTCCTCTGGCCCCTGGAGTCCAAGGGTACTGGATTTATGTGCACATACTCCACACAGATGCACACACATTAGTAAAAATAAAATAAAATATGTTTAAAAAGAAAAAAAATCTAAGACTTCAAGCACTGTCTGCCGGCTGCTCACACAACAGTGCCATCTGATGCATTTCATGTTTTGTTGGCCCATTTCCTTCCCTACAGCAATCTTTGAAACCAGTAATTTCAGACACTAAACAAAGAAAAAAAACTGTCTGATCTTAATATTCTTTCTGTCTACATTTGGTTACAAAGTTGAACTAAATTTGTCCCAGTCCAGGAGAGAACAACCAACGCACTGCTTGAAACAAGACATCAGGAGGTCTTGTGTCACTTACATCTGTTTAATATTTAACAGCAGTAGGAATTAGGTTTCTTATGTCATCATAATCTAATTAAAGCCTGTTAAGAGCAGTGCACTGCTTTTGATTACAGAACGTCACATAACCAGTTTTTCTCTTCTCTCTGTATCATTCTCACTCAATAGTGCTCCATTTGTGTGTGCGAGGCATACTCAGACAATGATGACAAGTTTTCTTAAAAAATTTTTTTTTACTTGCAAATAGTCTTTCTAAATGATTTTGTTTTGAAAAAAAGTTATTGTGTATAAACAAACATTAAGTACATGAAAAGACTTGTGGATTTTGCAAGAGGCACATTTTAACATCAGTGCTCATAAACTGTCTCCTTCCTTTTCATCCTGTTCACTGAGTAGGACTGGTACTCCTTTCAGTGGGAGCTGCCATCCTAATCCTAATGATTCTTCACAGCAGGAACTCAGTTGGATAATGCAAACCAGGACGGAAAAGAATGTAATTGTTCAAAAAGCTTCCCAAATCGGAATGATTCCAAGCTGCCATGAAAAAAGGCCCATGATTTATCTTCAAAGGCAAGAAGTTTGTTAACTGAACAAGTTCTAACCAGATGTTAATTGAGCATAAAATTACAAAACTTGGCCAGCAAACTGGCAGACTGTAAATCCACTGAATAGGGTGACCTCTATGTCCTACATTGTACAGAACATGATTTCAAAGGCCTATAAATACAGAGCAAATACAATTGGGGAATAACTTGGATTTCAAAAATTACTTCCACAAAGAAAAATTACATGTTTAGTTATATTTCTTTTCTGATAATCATTAGTAATTAGTAGTAATTGTTACAGTTTTCTACCACTACACAAAATACTATTTAGATGTGTAGCAACACCTAGCACTTGTTTCAACACCTCAACTGGGGCATGATTTTACCTATTTTGTGGTAAATGATATGAAATTCAACAATATTTTATCAAAATAGCATGCCCGGAGTAGCAGAGTGCTTGCATGGACCATATTCCTTACTCTGAAATCTTTAAAGAAACAACTGAGATTACCAGCTTTAGCCTAGTTTATCAATAAATTCATATATACTCCATTCAAATTTGGCTAACATTCATATATATTAACCCAGTCATATGCATTTTCTATTTATTATATTTACTGAATTGAAGTAGATGACTTTAAAGACATAGAAAGCCTTGGCCATTTTTATATCAACATGCATAAAGCCACAAAACTGTCTTAAACTGTCCTAAGTCATGTGTCATACTTGGTGCTTAACTTATGCCACAGAGGTTGAACAAATGATAAGGCATCTACTTTGGTTTTGAGATCATCTACTCTCTCCATTTCTTCAGGTTAGACCACCTGTATGGACAGAACTGCTCAGCAATCATCAGTGACCTACATAACAAGCAGGCAGCTATCTTAGTTTAGTCTTCATCTCTCTTGTTCTTCATTCATCCTTTGAATTTTTGTTGATACCTTCTCTTTTGTTCATATTTTGGTGGCTTCTCTGTGACATGTCTCTACAGAGACTCCAACTTCTAGCACCCACTATTGCTTTGTTGACTGTCACAATTTTAAGTGTTCCACTGATGATGCGGATATCATTTCATAATCAGCCTGGAAGTCAATGAGCAGTACTTAAACTGCCCTGAATACTGACTGACAAGTCATTGATCAGATTTGCTGACTTTTGAAAATGGGTGAATGTGTATATTCCCAATCATTTGTAATTAAAAACTGTTTTATTTTTGTTCCAATTGCCAACAACCACCAAATTCTTAAATTTTTTCCCCTACACTCATATTGGTGTCTATCCTAATTGTCATCATAGAACCTACATCCAGTGACTGATGGAAGCAGATACAGAGACCCACAGCCAACCAAGACTTGGCCAAGATCCTGAAGTTCAGTTGAAGAGTGGGAGGAAGGATTATACGAGTAAGGGGGCCACACCACAGGCACCGGATTCCCAAAAGCCTGCCCATGCACCAGGGACGGATCCCGATCTCCCCTGCCTGAGTGCTCCCCAAACAGTTCGAACCCAACAACTGTCTTCCCATATCTTGCACGGCCTTGGTACAGTGGGAAGGGGTTGGACCTGCCTAGGCTCAGTGTGCCGGGCTCTGCTGACTCCCCATGGGAGACCTTGATTTGGGGGATGTGGGGATATGGGGTGGCTTGGAAGAGAGGGCTGGGGGTGGGAGGAGGGAGGAGATGGGATCTCTGGGTGGTATGTAGAGTGAGTAGAAATTTTCTTAATAAAGAAAAATGGGGAAAAAAGAGCAAGGGGGTTCAGAATCATGATAGGAAAAACACAAATTCATTCATTTCTTAAGACAAATTTAGTTACATTTCTTTTAGATTAATTAAGATTAATTTTCTCAAACCCAAATCCCAAGCCTCCTCCCACCCTCAACCTCTTTATAGCATCTTATGCTCTTATCTACTTGCTATCTGTCACTTCTGTAACTTGGAACATGGATTCAGCTTTCTAACTTCTCTAGACAGATTTTCTTCACAATTTCGCTTCAATCAAGATAGTCTGGTTGTAATAAGAAATGTGGGTTTTTGCCAGGCAGCGGTGGCCCATGCCTTTAGTCCCAGGACTCGGGAGGCAGAGCCAGGAGGATCTCTGTGAGTTTGAGGCCAGCCTGGTCTACAGAGCAAGATCCAGGACAGGCACCAAAGCTACAGGGAGAAACTCTGTCTTGAAAGAAAAAAAAAAAAAGAAATGTGTTTTTAGGTTCTGTGCCTATTCCATTTGGGCCTGAATTTATGACTTCCTCAATTTGAAATGCTTTATTCTCAAGAAACTAGATTGAGACATATGGGGGGGGGGGACCAGAAACATGCTGATTATTCCATGTGGACTTGCCTGACTTTGATTCTTTATCTCCCCAAAAGTCATTTAATATTTAGTTGACATCATTTTTACTTCAGTACTTTAGAATATACATCTACAGATCTATATATGTGATATTTGTTTATTTCTGTATAGCTCTATTTATCATTTAGCTATATAATTAAATAGTTCTCTGTATCTTTCATTAAACTATTGACATTAGAAAACTACACACTTTTTTAATGAGGAAGATTTACATGTGTTTATATTTTGATACAATTAGCAACTTTAATAAAATAAATTTCCAACTTATTGTATAAATAATTGAAAGAAGATAATGAGATTATGTAATAATAAAGAGTAAATATGTTTATAAGAAACTCTGGAGAAGGGAAAATTAAATCTAGAAATGAAAAAAGTCTTATGGGATGGATATTGATCTAAAATACTGAGTGTATATTTTATTATTCACTTATAAAAACTAAAGGTCAGGCTTCTGCCAGGACTCTCCCTACCTGCTCCTACTCACTCTTCTGTGAAACTTCTCACCACCCCACTTGGTACTCAGACTTCCAATGTCCTCCACTATACTCTAGCCTGATAAGTATCCCTGATGTCCCCATCCATGACTTTTACACAATCTGCCAGATC